AACAACAACAACAACAAAATTAGCTCTTTTAAAATTACATTTTAGGGAAAGGCAAATTTTCCTAAGAAAGTGAAGATATTTGAGATAAGTAAATGTTAATTCAAAGGAACTAGGTTTATTTCCATATTTGGCACAATAACAAAGGGCTAATGGAAAGATTATAGTTTTCAGTTCAGAAATTGAACAAATATCACCTTGCTGCATTGTAGCAAGCTAGTGTGTTGGCTCAGAATCTGTTTCCTAGCAGATATGAATTGAAGGGATTAGTAGACATAACAAAACAATTCACAAGGAAGAAGAGACAGGGAAACAAGCGGAAGAGAAGTTTTCTAAGATAGTTTACTAATGCACTGATGAGGAAATAGCATATTAGATGAAATACAGAGGTAACCTCAAAAACCTGTTACAGAGGTAACACAGAGGCTTATATTTTTTTGCGTGGTGTTTGTCCTGCACAAACTTGTGCCTTTATTATAATGAGAAATAGTCCTTACTCAGTTTAATGCTCGGGATGGCAGTGTAGTCTGAAAGTAGGGACAAAAGGATTTAGAGATGGGAGCGGGGTTATAAATACTTCCCAACCCATCTTCTGTATTGTGCAGAAGGAGTTGCTCTTTTAGAGACTTTTGTCATGCAGTAGAACACATACTGGAAGTTTCAAATTTAAATTTATGCTTTTGGATAAAATGGATTAGAGAGAGTGGACTGCTACAGGTTGAAGAGAAACCACTTGATTCTGAGAAACTGTAATTCAATTGAAAGAAGTTTTAGTTTAGAATGACTGGAGTAAAGAAAAAGAATGGACCTACATTCCAAGACTACCTACTGCGTGCCAGATGCTCTGGTGCTTTTCTATCAGTTGTCTCATTCGTGCCTTATCTATACAGATGAGGACCTGAGGCTCAGAGAGGTTAAATGACGCCCAAATATCACATAGCAGTGAGTGAGAGGATGACTGCTCACACTGACTCACACACCCACTAGACTTGTTCTCTGATGGTTAGGTGGTTGACAGCCCCAAGAGGCAGAAATTTTCTATTTCTTTCAAAAGCAGTTTTCTTATAGGTCTCGCTCTTTTTCACTCTCTCCTACATTGTGTTGGAACACAGGATTAAAGATACTTTGGAACTGAGTATGCCAGCATGTTTTCCGTGATCTTTTGGGTGGCTAGCCTTTTGCCTAGAGCTGATCTCGAAATTGTAGCTGCTCCTGGGGAGTTTGATGTAACCCGAAGACTGTTGGTTTTGTTCTCTCCAATAACATATTTAACACCAGTGGGTAGAATCTGGGGTGTAATCCACTTGACAGATTTCTCAGCCATGTTCTAGCAGGCTCCCCAGTATCTTTATCTTCATGGCCATAGTCAAGAAACTTGTTATCTACTTAAATGTGATTGTGGGAAAAGTATGTAATTATAGTAAGCTTTTTGACTATGCTGTAACAAATCTTACTGGTACCTGAAAAGTGGGTTGAGGAGGGTTGCAAGTGGTTATGTTAATTTTTCTATACACCAGTTCAGACCTTTTTCCCAAAGGAAAACCAAAGCTGTTTGAACTGTGACCGTGACTTAGCTGACAGGTATTAACAAGTTATGGTTAACTTATAAGCCTAGATAGATTCAAACCGTTGACCTTGAGTTGAAGTATTTTATAAGCTGTGACTCATCTTCTGGCTCATCCTTTTGTTCACCAGGAAATAACACTGAATATTAATTTCAGGAATTTCAGTTATCCCTTATGAAGAGTGTGTTGCTCATTAAAATTGCTGGGACTTGTTTTTCTGGTACCAACAGGACCACAAATTGGTCTATAGTTAGTGGTTGTACTGAATTCCTGTGTAAACGGGAAGGTACCTGATTAACTGTCTAGAGAAAGCCCGTTGAAGATGGGGCCATCCTTTCTGACTTCTTTTTTTTTTTTTTTTTTTTAATTTTTTTTCAACGTTTTTATTTATTTTTGGGACAGAGAGAGACAGAGCATGAACGGGGGAGGGGCAGAGAGAGAGGGAGACACAGAATCGGAAACAGGCTCCAGGCTCCGAGCCATCAGCCCAGAGCCCGACGCGGGGCTCGAACTCACGGACCGCGAGATCGTGACCTGGCTGAAGTCGGACGCTTAACCGACTGCGCCACCCAGGCGCCCCTCTGACTTCTTTAATAAGAGGTTCATCTCTTCTACAAGAGAGAGAGGGATGCAGGATGGTGAATCTGAGGCTGAACCTAACAGATGGTGTGTGTGTATGTGTATTTGTATCTGTAAATATCACATCACTGTTTACAGTACACTGGACTCTCTTCATGCAAGCCCTAGTCAGGCCAGATCAGGAGGAATTGTTCCCGTGCTTAAAGCCAAGAATAACATCCTGACCAGCAGGGGACAGAGGTCAGCTCAAGGCAACTGCTCTAGGGAGCTACAGGACATTAAGAACTTTGAAGGAACTGAATTTAGTATAAGTAGGAAGCCAATATGTATTATGTACGTACTTTGAAAGAAGTGTGTGAAACCTATGTGTGTGTCTCTGTCTTTTTTTTCCTATGGGTCTCTTATTAAGGCATAGCTTATTTGTGAAAAATGAAAAATCATCTTAATGGGATGTGTTATGACTTCACCTCCTCGCTATTTTAACTATATTTCCCCCTCCTACCTGCATATTGATTTGTCTGTTTATTGTTTTTATTAGAAAAAGGGGGAAAGTATGTTCTACTGTTACTCTGTGTTTTATTCTACAGGCAGCTTCAGACAAGGCTGGATTGAAGGATGATATGTTAATTAAAAAACAAATACCCTTTACAAAATCTCCTGGGGACCTTCCAGGCTGGCTGAAGTTTTGTTTCTGCTATCTTTCTGTGCCCACTCCTCTTCTTGTCCCTTCCATCTTTCCTCATTCTGATGCTGGCCACTCACCCCACGGAGGCAGCTCAGACTGTTTGCTGGTGGAGCATTCTAAGTTTGTCCTGTTGTCTTCTCTGGGACTCATTGCTCTGGTCCGACTTAAACTGGTTCTGGGCCAAAGTGATCATCTGAAAGCTTTTCTTCTTGGCCTTTATTTCTTGGCTCTTTTAATGCACTTTGCCTGATTAGTTTTGCTGTTTCTCTCCTTTTCCAGTGGTGTAAGTTATACTGCTTCGGTTGGAAGGTTCTAAAGCTCAGGTGCAGCCTGAGGCCTCTTAGATTTTACTTTGGTTTTGTAAAGTGCCTTTTTCCTTTCCTAGAAATTGGGGGATGAATAGGCGCTCTTTTGTGAGGTATTGCTGACCTTCCTGGGACTCTAGTTTGCTAGTTGTTTAAACACATATGTAGCAACTTGAATTGTATTTGCAAAAGTAGGACTTTGTTGCCAAGATTCTGAAGTAGGTCAGTTGCTTGTTACCCTTTCCCCTCTTGTTTTTAAATTGAAAAATTAAAGAGAGAATTACCTTGTCCATGGCCACATAGCAGGCTGGTCTTAACACCTTTTAAAGCAAACCTTATTTTTCCATTCCTTGTATTTCTTAGCACAGATATTAACAAATAGTTAATGAATCCATAATAGTTTAATAAATACATCTTAACTGTGGGTTGATTGATCAATTAAGTTTCAGAATTCTTATCAAGTTGGTCACATTTTGGACCAGCAGGTGAGAATAGTGTCTGGGTGGAAGGGACCAGATAGCCTTGCAGAAAGTGTTTAGCAGTTGAGAATATGCATGCAAAAAATCCTGATGTAGAGGTGCCTGGCTGGCTCAGTCACTGGAGACTCTTGATCTTGGGATTGTGAGTTCAAGCCCCAATATGTGTGTAGAGATTGCTTTATTTTTTTTAAATGTTTATTTGAGAGAGAGAGAGAAAGAGAGAGAAACAGAGAGAGAGAGCGCACACGGAGGAGGGGCAGAAAGAGAGGGAGACACAGAATCTAAAGTAGGCTCCAGGCTCTGAGCTGTCAGCACAGAGCCCTATGTGGGGCTTGAAGTCATGAACCATGAGATAGATCATGACCTGAGCCCAAGTCCGACACTTAACCTACTGAGCCACCCAGGCACCTCGAGATTGCTTCTAAAAATAAAAAATCTTAAAAAAAAAAAAAAAAATCCTGTTATAAAACCTGTTCAAAAACTGAAGAAACAGGAGAGTAGTTTGGCTAGAGCAGAAACTGGTTAAATGTAAGGAGAAATAGGGTGAGAAAGGATAGAAGGACATGGGTTAATCAAGAGATAGGAAGAATTCTACAAACAGGCATCTTGCTAGCTTGGGATCAGAGAGTGAAGATGAAAATTTCCTACTCCTCCCCCAGTATGAGACTCTCCACCCCTCCCCTGGCAACCACCATCCAGAGGGTCTGTGAATGCCTTTGGGCACTAGTGTCTGATTTGGGGGCTGCCCTGTGAAGCATGAAGAGGTCCTGTGGGATCAGTCAGCGGCAAAGAACAGTTGGCCTTTTGATTTGTTAAATTCTTCATAATAGTTTTGCTGCTCTCAAATAGTATTACTAATTCCAAAGCCAAAACCATTTTCTGATGGTTTTGCTGTATCCAGTTGGCTCGTGGGACCAAAACAGCAGCTGAGACTGCCGTACCATGATGCACTTAAGCAATAACCCTTCAAGGGGCCTGTCCACCTTTTTTTTATTTTTAATCTTAAAACAACAGCAACAACAAAAACAAACTGCTGGGTTGTTTTTTGTTTTGTTTTTTGTTTTCTTTTTTTGCTTTGGGGCCAGTAATTTGCATCCCATTTGGGTGCCTTGGTCTCCCCTCTCCCTCTCACTTTTTCTTCACGCATCCCTATGCTAAGCCCTGCTCTCTGAACCTGACTCTCGCTTCTGGCCTCATTGTGTAGTATGAATTTTAACCATTTCTGCTTTTAGACCTGTTTTCCATCTTTTGTCTTTCCCTGCTCCCTGTAGAAATTTTGGGTTCAGATTTGCTTGAGGGAAGGATGATATTTTTTCATGCTTTTTTGTTTTTTGTTTCCATAAATATGTTCTCTACTAACTAATTTTTCTTTCCTTTTTTTGTCAAACAGGCCACCAAGCAGTTTCTTGAAGAGATTAACAAGTGGACAGTTCAGTACAATGTTTCCCCTCTCTCTTGGAATGTGGCTGTCAAGTTCCTCATGGCCCGGAAGTTTGATGTGCTCCGTGCCATAGAGTTGTTCCACTCCTACAGGGTATGTAGCTGGGGATGGGCCAGACTTGTGGCAGCTGGGCTCTCTGTGTTGCTGCTTTCTCTGCCACACACTACACACAGTGGTTCTCTGAGTGTTCTCCCCACTCTCATTAAAAAAAAAGTGGGTCAATATCCAAGAACCCTACCTGGGAGTTAGAAAATCCTCTGAGGAGACACAGAACCTCTCTAAATTAAAAAAGGAAGAGGGCCCATGGGTGGCTCAGTCAGTTGAGCATCCAACTCCTGATCTCAGCTCAGGCCATGGTCCCAGGGTTGCACTGGGCTCCACGCTAGGCATGGAGCCTACTTGGGATACTCTCTCCTTCCCTCTGCCCTTCCCCTGTGTGCTCTCCCTCTCTCTAAAAAAAATTAAATTAAAAAAACAAAACAGGAGGATAAGGCATGCTAGGATTAGTTTAAGACTAAACACTTACCTAGACCTGTCTTGTGGGTCATTCTCATACAGTATTCAGTCATTTATCCAACAGATGTTTATTGTATACATACTGTGTTCCAGGGGCAGAGATTACTACTTAGAAAGAGAGAGTAAACACACAATTATAGAAAGTTATGATAGGGCACAACTTCCTTCTGTGGAAGCACATTTCATTAGAAGGGTCAAGGAAGCCTTCTTAAAGGAAGTGACTTATAAATTAAAATCTGAAGAATGAGTAGGAATCTGACAGGTAGGGGAGCATGGCAGAGAGAATAGCAAGTTCAGATGCCTAGTGACAAAACAGAAATTGAGCTGAGCAGAAATGTTCAGTGGGAGTGGGGGCATGGCAACAGATTGAGCAGCAGGAGTAAACAAGGCCATGGGGCGCCTGGGTGGCTTAGTCAGTTAAGGGGCTGACTTCAGCTCAGGTCATGATCTCTCGGTCCGTGAGTTTAAGCCCCACATCGGGCTCTGTGCTGACAACTCAAAGATGGGAGGCTGCTTCGGATTCTGTGCCTTCCTCTCTGTCTGTCTCCGTCCCTCTCCTGCTTGCTCTCTCTCTCTTTCTCTCTTTCTCTCTAAAAAATAAATAAACATTTTTAAAAAAATGAAAAAACAGAAGAAGTAAACAAGGCCAGATCATAGAGTATTTGTTTTTTCTTAAGGGCAGAGAAATTCATTGAAGGTAAAAACAGCAGAATAACTTGATCAGATTTGCATCCTGGAAAGATTTTCTCACTGTGCTTTAGAGAATGGATCAGGAGGGCTATACTGGAGACAGACCTGTTAGATGGTCATTGTACTTACTGGGAGAAAGATGAGTGTGGTGTCATTAAGTGTAGTGTCAGGGGAGATACAGGAAAAATGGGCAGATTTTATAAAAATTGGTAGGACAGGGTTGCTTAAACTGGTGTGTAAGGAAAGAGGAGTCAGGGGTTCCAGGTCTTTGATTAGGGTGGCAGGGTAGATGGTGGTAGCATTCACTAATTTTAGGAGACACTGAGATAGTGCAGGTGTGTGGAGAGACAAGGTCATGAGTAGTTCAATTTGGCCATGTTAAGTTTGAAGTGCCATTGGGATATCCAAATAGACATTTTCTCTAAGAAGTTGGAATGTGAATCTAGGGTTCAGAAAAGAAATCTGCACCAGAAGTAGAGATTTCGGAATGACCAAAGTAGAGCTGAATATCAGAGCCATGAGAAAGGGCAAGGTCATCCCGGGAGAGTATGAGGAATCGGAAGATGTGTAGGGCAGGACTTCACTTCAGATTTTTTGCCTCGTTTGGTCCAGTATTGTCTTAAAAGTTGAATGTGAGTGCTTTAGGTAGGGCATGCACTCTAATTCTAGTGCTGCCCTGCCTCTGAAGGCTTTGAATTTGGTTTTAGGGATGAATTGGGCAAGAATATAAACAAAGACCTGGTTTGTTTCATTTACCAATGTGTTCCTAGCACTTAGCTCAGTGCCTGGTACATAGTAATTGCTCTACAAATATTTGCAGAATAAATGAATGAGTCAGTGAGTGAATTGAGTGAGCAAATGAATAAAAAAAAAAAAAAACCCACAAAAGAGACTTAGAAGCAGTAGTTGAAGAAGTAGGAAAACTGAGAGAGTAGTCTTTGATACAGAATGTCTCAGGGAAAAGGGAATGTGAGTGGTCAACCTTGTCATGTGAAAGGAGGACTGAAAATGCTGACTGGGTTCACTGACAGGAAGGAAGGTCCTACCACTGGAGCAGGAGCTCTCAGTGGGGTAATTAGATTGGGGGGAAATGAGAATGCAATAGATTGAGTGTGGGGGAACTGAGCATGAGTTTAAAGAATCTTGCTGTGGACATAAGAAAAATGAGGTCATTGTAGGTCTTGTTGGAGAAAGTATCAGTGGGGAGGGATGGCTCCATTTTAAGATGGGAGAACCCTAAGCCTAGAGGATATGTGAGGATGTCTGCCTCCAGCCAGTGTTTGAGTCCATATGTTAATATCCTGCTCTAATATCACTACTGATATATGTTTAAGAACTTTGACCCTGCACTCTAACCATACATATTAGTTGGACTTCAGTGTTAGGCTTCTCAGTGATTTAAAGCAAAATATCATACCTACGAGGCTGATAAGGTAGATTGGCTGAGAATTCAGACAACACTCAGTTGGCCTGAAGCATGTTACAAAGGAATTCCTGATCCAATTAATGGACTTCTAAAGTCCTTTATCTCTGAGATTTGATGGTTACATAAAGCCGTCCTGGATATACAGTATTTCCATACTAATTGACGTTGCTGTGCTTTATTTTTAGGAAACACGAAGGAAGGAGGGCATTGTGAAGCTGAAACCTCATGAGGAGCCTCTCCGTTCTGAGATCCTTAGTGGAAAATTCACCATCTTAGTGAGTCTTTATGAACCTGTCTTGTAGTGTGTCATTACTTCCTTTTGTAGCTGTTGTCCTCTTTGGATTTTGTACCTAGATAACCTTATCCTGAATCTAGAGAATCTCAACATTTGGGAGCAAACATGAAGCAGCTATGTGGTTTGCACAAGATTATTCTAGTAACAAGTGAAATGATGGAGAATCAGTTGTACAATAGATTCAGCAAAGTTTCTTCTTTGGTCCATTAAGGTTAGTGAAGGTCTTTGGATGGGTATCCAGTATTTCAGAGGCCCATCCTTATTGGAACAAGCTGCCTCCCCCTAGAGAGCACAGCCTTTCAGATAAGTATACAATGGTACTTTTAAGGCAGAGCATGGAAACCATGGTTGTATTCTGTGGTTTTCCCCTGCTGCGTGTTTCTTTTGCCATTCTATCTGGGAAATTAGCTAGGCAGCCAGTGTAGACCATCCTTTAATCTCTCTGCAGTTGATGAGTTAAGGGAACGTAGTTTTTTTTGCTACGAAACAAGTAATGATCCAAGGGGTGCTGAGCATCAGGTGTGGGATGAAATAAACTTTCTTCACTTCCTGGAGCAACTAATGCAAGTCAGAGAAGTATTGCTAGCATCTGTTCTCTTCATATGAAACTTTTGTCTAGGAGAAGCCTTAGTGATTGTTGTGATACTGTATTTGGTTTCAAAATATTTCTTGGGGTTTTTTTGTTTGTTTGTTTTTTCTCTAGAATGTTCGGGACCCAACAGGAGCTTCCATTGCCCTCTTCACTGCCAGATTGCATCATCCCCACAAGTCAGTCCAACATGTGGTACTTCAGGCTCTGTTTTACTTGCTAGACAGAGCTGTAGATAGGTGAGCATGAAGATTATCTTTTATTTGGTCTGTATCCAGATGGAGAAATGACAGTCCTTGACTAACTTGATTTACTTAGCAGTACCTTCACCATGTTCCTGGGATATGCCTTGGGAAGTGCTATGAATAGAAAACATTCCATGTCCTTAAGGGCTTGGCTTGTTTCCAGTCACTATCAAGATGGTGGGTATTCTGTATGTTTATATGCTTGGCTCTATTTCAGGATAACAGAAACTGAGAAAGCCAATTGACTAGTTATCCTCAGCATATTGAGAATTACCTATTGAGAGTGAAGGGGAAGTGACTTGTGCTGGTTCTTTTTGCTCATTTGCCCCTGAATATTGATTTTCAAAACAGTCTAGGGTCTCAGTTTCTTTGTAAAATAGGAAAAATGTCATTAGCTTAGAGGATTTTGAGAATCAGCATTCAGGAGAGAAGAGTCCAAAAGTGTAAAGTTAAGCAAAATCATCTTTTTAAACAGATGCATGAGCAAAAAGAATCAGCTCAGGTCATTTCTCCTTCCTTCTTCAAGGTAAATGGTATTACGACTATTTTACAGACAATGAAACTGAAGCCCCAAGAAGTTATGTGACTCCTTTAGTCATCACATTCCAGTCCAGCTAGGCCTAACATCTTGGTTTCTTTGCTCTTGACTGGAGTTATTTGTACCCTACTATGTTGTCCTTTTGCCATACTTCCTTTTTTGCAGTTTGTTATTGCACTGGATGTCATTGGCTAGCTCTCTGCCATTAAAAGAGATATATCGAGGGCTGAAACCTGAGATAGTGAAAGACAGCTGTGTACGACTTCGGTCATACGGTGGACTCAGAGAGGGTGCAGATAGCCAAGTGATTATCTGAAGTGGGGCTGTCCAATTCACTCGTTGCTGCCTTCCTAATGTTACTTTCATAGTATTTAGCTTCTGCTTTTGATGCTCAGTGGGAGATATATCCAAACCACACACAGCATTAGTTTGAAAAAGAGAAGTTACTAAGGTAAGGAGAGAGGACCAGTAGTCTTAGAGGCCCTGTACTGCCCAATCAGAAGTGTGGAATTTCTCAGTTCGTCTTTCCTGTGATTGGTCTTCAGGCATAATTTCCAGAATATATAGGTTCCTTTGAAATCCTTTAGCTCAGGAGAATGAATGAAAGGTGCCTTTACCAGAAAATTCACTGGCCTTCCTTCTTGGGCAGCTTAGAGTCAGAGCTCTCCTATAGGCATGGCAGTGGCCAAAGCTTGCTCTATCCAATGTGAGTATTGATTGGATCCCTCAGGAGAACCACAAGGGTGTAAACATACTTAAAACTGTTCTCATGAGGGGCCCCCAGGTAGCTCAGTCAGTTGAGTGTCCGACTTCAGCTCACGTCATGATCTCATGGTTCCTGGGTTTGAGGCCCGCATCAGGCTCTATGCTGACAGCTCAGAGCCTGGAGCCTGCTTCGGATTCTGTCTCCCTCTCTCTCTGCCCCTCCCCTGCTCACACTCTGTCTCTCTGTCAAAAATAAACAAACACTAAAAAAAAAAAATTTTTTTAAAGAACTTTATTGAAAAAAAAAACCTGTTTTCATGATGTTCACCCTTTTCTTAAAAACCCTAGTGACTCTTCATTATTCAGAAGGTGCAGATAAGATAAATAAATGTGAACCCTTTTCTCCAAGCAAAATATTCTCACTAGTGAGTAGAAATTCTTATTTTCCTATGTTAACTTTCACCAGGATGCAAGAGGAGGAAATCCCTCCTCTTCACTAAATCTTGCCATTTCTTTAAGACTCAACTTCTATGACTGATTCCCTTACCACACTAACCTGTCATAAATAAAATTCTTTTTACCCTGACTTTAACAGCAGTTATTAATACCAATTATTTTGTATTGCATTTTACATAGCCTTATGATGTCATTTATCTTATACTGTTGTTTTCTATGTTTACCACTAGATTGTAAGTTCCATGAGGGCAGGGAATCTTCCTTTTCACATTACATAATAGAAAATCCTCAGATCTCTGAGTGGAGTGTAAATGGTATCATAAGCTTCCAGATACCCATCATCTATCTTCAGAATGATCTATAACCAATCTTATTTCATTGATAGCCTCTCACCCACCCTGTACCCTCAGTTATTTTGAAACAAATGTCAGGGACTATGTTTTAAACATCTTGGTGTTCGCGGGTAGCATCCAGATCAGGAATTTTTATTTAGTAGAATAAAAACAATCGTTCTTAGTACGGAATTAGCTATTATTGTAAACCTCATATTCTGTACCCAGAAAAACAAAAGTCCTACCATATTTGTATTTATTTCACGTGCCTTTACAGGATTGGCAGTTTTTGGGAATATAGACCCTGCATCATTCTGCACTGTACCTTCTTTTTATTAAATTCTGTTTCCCCGGCACTGACTTCTCTTTGTTTCAGTCTTCTGCCGCAGGCTGGCACTGGAAGGGGAAAACCTATAGTTCTTTGAATTTGGCCCTTGATAAGCTAGTGGAAAAATGGGAAGTGTCTACACCTGGATAATCTATTTAGTAATTGTGTCAGTTATGTAACAGCATCTTTGATCTTGGTGAATTATAGTCTCTCTTGTCGCGGGGGAAAAAACGGAGTTAAGATTTGGTGCTGTGACCCGTTAGGACCATTTGAAACTCAGAAACTGCTGGAAAAACTTGGGTCTGCCTCAGAATTAGAGATACTTGAAATGCTTCGTGGGTGGGTACTTCCACCATGCAAAAAAATCAGGATACAAAATAATACTGGGATGTCTGATTTTAGGATTGTTTTGTGCCGAAAAATCTTCTCAATTTTAAATAGATAGGAAAACTGTTGCTATCATCTGTGAGTATCTCAAACATATAATTTATTTCTAATGACCTTTTGGGTGTGCAGATCAGAAGCAGGTAAGATTTGGCTTGGTTGAAGAGTGCACTTTGAGAAGTCTTTAGGCAGTGAGGAGATTGAACTGAAGAATACTTTTCATATCTTCACATGTTCTTAACCTCAATCTGGTAATAAGCTCACCACCTCTTACTTTTCAAGATGCTTTCCCAAGACCATGTGTGGGTTTGTTCTCTTCTGCCAAGTCCTAAGAGATTCCCCATCACTGGGCTTAGAGCTTTGTTTTACATTTTCCCACAGGTCTGAGTATTTTCTTAGCAGTGGGCTTCCAGTCCACTGCATTAGAATTCAGTGACCATTTATTATATGCCTATTTGCAAGAACTATGCTAGAGACTACTGGGAGTGATGAGGTGAACAAAACATGTTTATGCCCCCTAAGAGAGAATCAGATGGCTAGACAAAGTTGAAATGCTTTAAGAGCCATAAAATAATCCCACAGGAAGATTTATGGGGCTACAGGGGGGTAAAGGATGGCAGTACATTTCGATCACAGTTATCCGGGAGGTTTTATGGAAGAGGAAGCTTTTGAGTTGAAGATGGAATGTTACAAAATTTGGATAGGCAGATTCAGAAACCTGGGAGGAAACAGTTCAAATTTTGATAACCTACATGCTCTGGAACATTTCCAGCATAGGAGTTTGGCACTTGATTAACATGCATCAATAAGCATAATTCCAATTCCAGCATGTGGGGGTTTTCTGCCACACCTCCAAGCAGTTCTCAGATACCAGCTTAGTGTTTTACAATCAACTCAGTTCTGACACTGTCTACCTGTTAGATCAGATTCCAGAGGTTAAAGGTTTTCAATCCTACAAGATTTATCTCCCCTACTCCCCACCCCCACCCCCATTCACAGATGGGAGTGGCAAGTTCAGGTTGTCACCTGTGCTTCTTATCAACACGCTATATAGATTGAAGGTTTCAGTGAATTTACTAGAGTGGCTCACAGAACTCAGAGAAACATTTTACTTACTAGGTTACCAAGTTATTATAAAAGGATATAGTCCAGAACAGCTAGACGGAAGGGACGCATAGGGAAAGCTTTAGTGAAAGGGGTGCAGGGCTTCCATGCCCTCTTTGAGAGGGCCACTCTTTCAGCACCTCCATCAGGAAGCTCTCCAAACCCTATCCTTTTGGGTTTTCATGGAGGCTTTATCACGTGGCATGACTGATTAAATCATCCATTGGCTGTTTGAGATTGAACTCAATCTCCAGTCCCTTTCCCTGAGGGGAAAGGGGGGAAGGGGGAGGTATGGGATGAAAGTACCAACCCTCTAATCACTTAGTCAGTTCCCCTGGCAACCACCCTCATCCTTAAGTGATGGCTTGGGGCATTCCAGAAGTTCTCTTATTAACATCACAAAAGACACCTTTAACTCCCGCTTCATTTAGGAATTCCGAGAGTTTTAGGAGCTCTGTGCCAGCAACCACGCTGAAGACCAAATATGTATTTTTTATTATAAATTGCAATATCATGAGAAGCATAGCAAAAACCAAACCAGTGTTCCGGGAGGTAGTTATTTTGGTCCCGCATCTGTCCCATACTCTGATTTTGCCCTAGGCTCTCGACCCGCCTCATCCATCTTATTACTTACAAATGTTTTTGTTCAATGGTTGGTTTACAGTTTTGAAACTCAGAGGAATGGACTGGTATTCATCTATGACATGTGTGGTTCTAATTATACCAACTTTGAGCTGGATCTTGGCAAGAAAGTCCTAAACCTGCTAAAGGTAAGGCTGTGAAAGGGCCCCCTCAACTCTCCTTCAATGGTTAGGATACTTCTTTCCATAATCTTTGGGAGACTGAGGAATGATGTAAACTGCAGACATTATGTTCAGTGTAAAGGTCACCTGTAAATGATGACTAATATTTGCTTCCTCAGAATACTAAATGGTCTTAAAAGTGAAGTGGGAGGAATTAAAATAAGAAATGCACAGGAACATTCTGAGTCATGAAGGTGGGTTGTCCCTCTCCTGGAGTTGTGTAGAATAAGAATTCATGAAGGCCTAGGTATGCTCAGTGTCTGAAAAGTGTCACCTCACTAGTGACTTTCAGACTTTTTTGTCTCAGTCTAGTCAGATATATGTTTTACATGTTGACTTCATATACAAAAGTGTATGTACACTGACCTATACACATGTGTGGAGTTATATATATAGATAAGTCCTTACTTTCTTATCCCAAACTTAAAAAAAAATTTTTTTTAATGTTCATTTATATTTGAGAGACAGAATGCAAGCGGGGGAGGGGCAGAGAGAGAGGGAGACACAGAGTCAGAAGCAGACTCCAGGCTCTGAGCTGTCAGCACAGAGCCCAATGTGGGGCTCAAACTCATCAGCGGTGAGATCATGACCTGAGCTGAAGTCGGATGTTTAACTGACTGAGCCACCCAGGTGCCCTCTTATCTCAAACTCTTAAGTCCAGAAGCATTTTGTAACATTTTGAAGTTTATTTGCTATTTTTTTTTAGTGTTTTGAACTTTAAAAGATAATATGATATATATGCCACTTTATAATCAAACATTAATATTTTTGCAATGAAGGGGCACCTGGGTGGCTCAGTCAGTTGGTCTTCCAACTTCGGCTCAGGTCATGATCTCTTAGCTCGTGAGTTCAAGACCCACATTGGGCTCTGTGCTGACAGCTCAGAGCCTGGAGCCTGCTTGGATTCTGTGTCTCCTCTCTCTGCCCCTCCCTGCTTGTGCTCTGTCTCTTGTCTCTCTCTCTCAAAAATTAATAAACATTAAAAATATATATATATATTTTTGCAATGAAATGTGTTATTCATAATGAATGAGTGGAGACAAATAAAGGCTATAAACAGCCTATGGCATTTCAGGTGAGATTTTGCTGCTCCATGAATTCTTGGACCAAACTTACAAAAGAAAGCTTCAGACTTTCAGAGCTGTTTAGATTCAGAATCCTAGGATTAGGGTGTGTGGATCTGTGTGTATATATTTGTAAAACAAAACAAAAAAGTTTCACAAAACAAGCTTTACCCTTAGTATGTACAGTCACTTTATTATTCTATTTCTTATTGATTTACTTATTTCTTTTTAAAGTTTATTTATTCTGAAAGAGAGAGAGAGAGCACCCAGCAGGGGAGGGGCAGAGAGACCGAGAGGGAGATAGGATCCAGAGCAGGCTCTGTGCTGACAGCAGAGAACCTGATGTGGGGCCTGAACTCACAAACCGTGAAATCATGACCTGAACTGAAGTCGGAAGCTCAACTGACTGTGCCACCCAGGCACCCCTCTATTTCATATTTTAAAATGTTAGTCATGAGCCACTAAATTAATTTAAGGACCCACTGAGTGAGAACCTACAGTGTGAAAAACACTGATCTAAGAGTCTCGGCAGTCTTTGTTCTAGGACCTCCCTTGGGAGTACTGCAAACTGGATTTTTAGAAGTGCTTATTTACTATTATAGCTTTATAACAGCGAGTACATAAAGAAGATGTTATGCTGCATGTTGTTTTCTGGCACTTGGCGTTTGTCACTCATCATCATATTACTAAAATCCCTATTATGCCGTGTAGCTGTGATTCAGTTCTTTGTATTGATGAGAATGATACATGATTTTTTTCTTTATAAATATAGAGTTCTATATTCAGTGGTTATAACTTGGCATTTTTAAAAATTTTTTTAATGTTTTTATTTATTTTTGAGACAGAGAGAGACAATAGAGCCTGAGCAGAGGAGGGGCAGAGAGAGAGGGAGACACAGAATCCAAAGCAGGCTCCAGGCTCTGAGCTGTCAGCACAGAGCCTGATGCGGGGCTTGAACTCAGGGAGCGTGAGATCATGACCCGAGCC